GTGCAGGGGCAGGGAAGCATGGTAAAGTGTGCAGGGCAGGGCAGCATGGTGAGCTGGGCAGGGCAGCATGGTGAGGTGTGCAGGGGCAGGGTGGTATGGTGAGGTGTGCAGGGGCAGGGTGGCATGGAGAGCTGTGCAGGGGCAGGGCGGCATGGAGAGCTGTGCAGGGGCAGGGCAGCATGGTAAAGTGTGCAGGGCGGGGCAGCATGGTGAGGTGGGCAGGGCGGCATGGAGAGCTGTGCAGGGGCAGGGCGGCATGGTGAGCTGTGCAGGGGCAGGATGGCATGGTGAGCTGTGCAGGGCAGGGTGGCATGGAGAGCTGTGCAGGGCAGGGCATGGTGAGGTGTGCAGGGACAGGGCGGCATGGAGAGCTGTGCAGGGCAGGGCAGCATGGTAAAGTGTACAGGGCGGGGCAGCATGGCGAGGTGGGCAGGGCGGCATGGAGAGCTGTGCAGGGGCAGGGCGGCATAGAGAGCTGTACAGGGGCAGGGTGGCATGGTGAGCTGTGCAGGGCAGGGCGGCATGGAGAGCTGTGCAGGGCAGGGCATGGTGAGGTGTGCAGGGGCAGGATGGCATGGAGAGCTGTGCAAGGCAGGGCATGGTGAGGTGTGCAGGGCAGGGCGGCATGCTGGGTCTCTTCCCAGTACCAGGGGACCTGGTGGGGAGCTCCTCTGCAGCTACCTCACAGGGAATGAAGGGAACCCCAAAGCAGAGAACCTGTATCATTCATTCAGTCCTGACCCACAGAGAACCTGCATCATTCATTCAGTCCTGACCCACAGAGAGAAGCTGCATGGTTCATTTGTTCTAGTCTAGCACACAGTGAAACTGTATCACTTAATCCCCCCCAACCTGTGGTGAGAATATTATATCAGTTCCCCCTGCCCTACACAAACTTCCACGGGATTTATGTCAGCAAACAGAAGCCCACAGTTGCTTTTGTGCTTAAAACGCTAGTAGAGGCTGGAAGTTTCATTATAAAGGCCCCGTGTTTTAGATGTGTAAAGTTCAATACCTAAACTGAAAACCTCAAGATTAGTGGCAACATGGACACAGCAAGAAAGAAAGGGATTTTGAAAATAGAGCAAAACTGCCCAAAACCAAGTGCCAAGAAGGACGATGAGCAGCAAGCTGCACACAGAGCCCTGATGTGACGCGGATGCAACCCACGCCAGCAACATCCCACTTCTCAAATGGGACGCAATGCATAACCCACAGCCCTACGACGTAAGTCAGAATCAAGCACAAGAAACACCAAGAAGAGCTCTTCCAATCACATCCTGCAAATGGTTCCAAACACAGGTTAAAGGCTGAGGACCCTGCACACGAGCGAGACGCGCAGGGCCTCCTCACTGCCACTCTGTGGGAGCGGGCAGGCTGACAAGCATTGCCACAACACCAACCTGGACTGCAGCCAGGAGAAACACCCAGAAACAGGCACACAGAAGCCTCGAGGCTGGCACTGGTAGAGCTGCATGCCCACAAACACCCTGCCCCTCTCACAGAGGAACACCCAGCAATGAAGTCTCATTCTGCTCATCCACCCTGAGCAGACACGGACTGTCCAACAAGAGCAGAGCATCGATGCAGTTAAGGCACGTGAGCTTCTCCAGCTAGCAGCAGGAGCAATGGATGTGACCTACTAGGAGGCTTCATGCCAGGGCCAGTGTGCGGCACATAGGTTAAGGCTGGCAACACCAGCATTCCATACAGTCAACCAGCTCCAACCGTTCCACTTCTGATCTAGCTCCCTGTTGATGGCCTGTGAAAGGTGCAGGATGGCCCATGGGAAACCTAAAAGAAGTTCCTGGCTCTGGCCTGGCCCAGCTTGGCTGTTAGAGCCATCTGGGGAGTGAACCAGCAGACTAAAGACCTTTCTCTCTGTAAACATCCATTTCAAATAAATAAGGATTTTTAAACATTCATATGTTCACAGGTCAGGGCACACAATTAGTCTGGCAGTTGAACCGCCTGTTAGAACGCCTGTGGACCCTTGGGTTCAGTCCTGAGCTCCTGGCTCCAGCACTCTTGACAGCAAGAACAGTTCAGGTAGCCAACGCCGCCCCCCACATGGTCCTGGATCCCATCTCTGGATGCTGTGACTCCTACAGGTGCCAGCGCACTCTCTCTCACACACAGAAATTGCTATTAGGTTCCAAAAATGTATTTACAGAGTATCTTCAGAAGCATGCCATGAACATAATCTGTAATAAATGAAAATGACTATATAAATTCTAAGATAGCCATGCGAAAACAGTAACAAAGAAAAAGTGAATAGCTAACAACATAAAAATTTAAAATATATGTAATCCAAAAGGAAAACAACTGATAGGACAAACAGTAAGATTTAAACACAACCATGACAATCACCAAATTACATGTAAGCGATCGAAATATCCTAATTAAAAGGCGCAGATTGTTCAGCTGGCCTTAAAAAGCAAGGACTAACTGCTTTGCGTACGAGAAATACATTTTGAATATGAAATGGAGTTCACAACAGAGACAGAAAAACTCAGTATAAACAGTAACCAACAGAAAAATGGAGTGCTATATTAATGTAAGTTGGAGATTTCAGAGCCAAGATCAATAAAATGAATCACTTCTTGGTGGAAAGAGTCCATTTCCGCCTCACAACAGCCCCAACATGCATGAAGCAAAAACTAGTAAGACTGCAGGATAAACATGCAAACTCGGTGAGAGCCGTTGGTCCTCTCCTCACACACGCACCACTGAGGAGCTGGGCAGGGCTTCCCTCACGGCTGAGGCAGCCACCGCAGCAGCCACCGCAGCAGCCACCGCAGAACAGGCATTTGCGGAGAGGTGCTCCAAGCGGCACGAGCCCATATAGGGGACATGTGGCCCTGCACTTCCCAGCTTCGGGTGTGCACAGGGCCGTTCCCAAGACACCATCGCCTGTGCCACAGCAAAGTCGACAGCAGAACAACCTCTGGAAAAACCTCAAATATTCATCAACTGGACAGCATGATTCTAATTTAAAAATGAGGCAGTGAAGACCTCAAGAGGGAAGTGAGTGGGAATTCTGACCAGGATGGAAATGCAAACAGTGCCCACAGCACGCAGCAGCCACACCGGGGCACAGGCGCCTCGGCCCCCACCCTCATGAGCTCAAGAAGCTTGTCCCGCCCCGTGCACACGGAAGGAGGCGAGGGTCACTGGGGTGGCAGTTAGCAGCACCAAGCGCAGCCCATGAGAAAAGGAATGAATCCCAAAGTAGGGGGTTCTTAAAAACACAATGGGTAGACATTTGGCCAGACCAACCTAACCAAGGGAGAAGACACAAGTTTTAGTGGAATGGGAGAGGTGACGTCCGTTGCCATCGCAGACAGCACCGGAGCAGGGCAACTGCTGCTGCCATCCCAGTTCATCTTGGAAGCAGCACCTGCCCAGGTGTGACGGGGTGAAGCTGGACACACAGCATCCCTGGGCATAAAGGCAGGGCAGCTGTGATTCTCGCAGCTCCCTTTGCAACCTCAGGGAGTGGGCACTCCGGGGGTGGCCCACATCTGCATGCTGTGAGGGTCCTGGGCCTTGAGGCCCAAGCTAGGAGTCAGAGCACTACTGCGTGCCCAGCCTACCCTGAGGACATGCTTCTGTGCCCCCTCTTTGAAACCAGAAAACGGCAGTGAGCACCAAGAACGGCCTGCAGACCCCCCACTTCTGCTGAGTGCCCTGAGCAGGCTACACGACTCAGACCCCATCCTCCCAACCAGGGGGCACCTGCCAGGGAGCCTCCCCACCCATCCCCACATCACCACTGCCCCGTCTCCAGACCCTCATGCCTGACCAGGAGCCTGATTTGTCTGGTCACCAGACAGGGCTCCGGACTCTTCTGCAGGCGACAGGAGGCTGCTCTTGGCTGTCGCCACCTGTTCATCTTTGCTCACCGGCTCAGCTGCGAGGGGCCGGGGGGGGGGTGGGGGGGACGGGGACAGGGTGGGGTGAGGTACATTCAATCATCTACCTCTCTCCCTGGGACACCAAAAGCCCGGGAAAGCCCACACCTTTGCAAACGCTGGACCCCGGGAACCCTCCAAGGGCTGCCCCCTCATCCTCAGCCACACGTTTGCAGGCACGAGCTGTAGTTTTGCTCCGGCACAGGCACCTTAAACAACGGTGCTCTTTATTAGCCATCAACACTGTTAAGCATTAAGGCTAATCAGAGGGGAAGATGGCTTCCAGGCGAGCTTTCCCCAGAGACTTGCTGCAGAATGTACCGACTCCGGCCCACTTGACTCTCTCGCCCCGCGGGCTCCCCAAGGCCCCCGGGCGGTAGGACCGCAGCTGTCCACCCTCCCCAAGCGCTCCCCAAGTTGTTACGCCCTTGGCAGGTTTCTGGCGCTGCCAAGAGTTCTCTGGCTCCGCCAAGGAAAGTGGAAACTATTTTTGGCACGCACACCGGCAGCTCCGCCTGAGTTGTCCAGCTGCGGTTGGCGCCCAAAACGCAGCCGACCTCGCCGAGCCGCGGAGCCCGGCAGTCCCCGCGGCGGGCTCCGGCGGCCCCGGGAGTCCCGCGAGGCCGCTCCGAGGCCAGGTGCCCGCCGGGCTGGCGCAAACCCGGACAGCTCGGCCGGGCCGGGGCTCCGCGGGGAAGCCCTCGGGACGCCCGGCGGGAGCGAGCGCCGCCCGGGGCCCGCGACGGGGTTTTCCCGGGCAGGGCTGCGGCGGGCGCGGCGCTCCGGGAGAGGGGCAGGGGGAGGCCGGGCGGGGACGGCGCGCGCCGAGGAGGGCCGGGCGGAGGGGCCAGGACGGAGCGCGGCGGAGACGGGCGCGGGACGGGGAGGAGCGGGCGGGCGGCGCGGGCTTCCCCGGGCTGCTCCACTAACTCCCCGGGCCGGCGGGGATTCGAGTTGCGAACAAAGGCAGCTCCCGAGGCCGCGCTCTCGGCGCTCGGGTCGGCCCCTCGCGTCCCGCCCGGGCGGACAAAGGCCGAGGCGTCCGCGCAGCGCCCCCGGAGCCCCCCGGCCCCCGGCCGAACTCACAGGATGGAGGTCTGCGGCGCCACGGCCGGCACGGCCTCCAGCAGCAGATGCATGCAGCGCACGGTGGTGCGGAAGCACAGGCAGCGGCTCGGGCACCCGGCGCCCGGCTTCTGGGCGAGCGCGGCCAGCGAGCCCCAGCACAGCACCAGCGCCAGCAGGCAGCGGCGCGCGGGGCCCCAGGGGCGCGCGGCCATGGCCGACGGCGCGCACGGACGCTCGGGCGCACGGAGCGACAGCGGAGAGCCCGGCGCGTCCACCGCCGGCGCCCGACTGCAGCCTCCCGGCCGCGGCCCACGTCCCAGCTGTGCGCGGGGGGCGGGGGGCGCCAGCTGTGCACATGCGCGCCTCTGCTCCCTGCCCCCTCCAGCCGCCGGAGGGCCGGGGCGGGGCGGGACCCGGGCCGTGGCTGGGCGTCGGGCGCTGCACCCCCTCCCCGCCGCGCGGTCCCCGGGGGCGGCGGGGAGAGGCAGGGGCCGGGTGGGAGTCCACGCTTCTGCACTTGGGACGGGGGTCCGAGACGCCGTGGCTCGTGGTGCGGGCGACGCCGTTCCCGACCCCTGGGAGCGTGCACTGAGTTCTGGGCGCTGCTCCAAGCCGGCCTCGCGCGCCTTCCTCCTCTGTGCACTGAATCACGCAGCTTCCCGAACAGCCCTGGGTCTCCGGACAGCGGGTCGAGGCCAGCCCCCGGGGCCTGCTAATCTCCTACCCGAGCCGGCTCCTCCAGGATAATAAAAGGGTATTTGTGGGGAGCCCTTGGCGCCCGGAAGTTCCTGGCCAGTGCTGGCCTGTTCACACCTTCCCTGTTGGTCCACCAGGATGGAAAGCCGCGCACCCACCCCAAGTCCAAGGCCCGGTGGGAGGGAGGCACGGGGAGGGGATTCAACACAAGCACCCGAAGGTGGCGCCCCGGGCCGGCAGCATGCCACCTGTTTCTCATTTCTGTGACTTGCCCTGAGCTCTTCGGCTCCCATCTGCACCCTTCTCCCCTCTGTGCCTGTCCTGTTGTGTTTGAGGGCATCTGGAAAGGCCAGGTGAGCTTCTTGATGCCAGCTAACAAATCAAGGCGACTTCAAAGCTGTGCAGCGAGGTCCCTAAGGGTCAATGCGTGGACACAACAGGGGAGTGTGGAGTGGCTGGGTCTCCTTGTGGCAGGTGCCATTAGCTCTGCTCTTCCAAGCGTGGACACCTCTGTCCTCCCGTGGCTCCACCCCTTCCTGCAGGTGAACTGTGGCCCACGACCTGCTGGTGCTGACAGCCAGAAGAGGAGAGAGAGCAGGACAGGAGCCCCGGTTCTCCTGCCCTCTCCACAAGGGTGCTGGTCCCCAGGCCAGTTTCAGCTCATTGAGCACAGTTCCTACCCCACTGCTGGGGAGCCCCGCGCTCCCACCAGAGAGCTTGCTTCCCGTGCAGCTTCCTGCTGATGCTCTTCAGGGAGACAGCAGGTGCTGGCTCAGGTGCTTGGCCCCTGGAGTCTCAGGCTCTGGGCTTCAGTCTGGCCTGACATGAACACTGGGACTGAAAAGCAGTGGAAGGTCTTGACTGCCATCTGAGTGCCTGCACTCCACACCTTTCTTATAAAATGCGGTTAAAAGAAGGCTTACTGACTTTGAACCTGCTGGGGCTGCCTGAAGCCATGGCTGCACTAAGGGGGGCTGGATCCCTGTTTCCCTAAGGCAGGAAGTGAGGTGGGGGTCACAGCTGGGGTGGGGGCAGCATCCAGCAGGGGTCCAGGCTTGAGACCTAGTGTTGTGCTGGGGTTTGTGATCCCCAGGAAATCATCAGGAGTCTGAAGCCGGTGCTAATGCATAAAGGCCAGTTTATTCAGGTTAGCCCAGGTCTCCCAGCCACCCCACTCCCGCTCAGCAGCCGAGGCTGCAGCAGGAACAGCAGGGCAGAAAAAAAGAGAGCGAGGTTGAACAGCACAGGGTTCTTGTACGTTTCAGGCCGATTCCATATAATTATAGTCATGATTGGTCAGTTTAACTGTTAACTGTTTTAAAAAGAACAAGTTGGCAGGCTTCTGTTGGTGGGTTTGAAGCATGCAACTTTCAAAGAGTATGGACTGGTGGGCTGTAGGGCAGTGGGTCTTATCAAACACCAGCCACCTCCTTCCTGAGGAGCGTCCTGCCTCCGTGACCTGCCAGGTGTCCTGCCGGTTGTCACGTAGGCTGCCAGGCCTGGAGCTCACACAGCCCCCAGCCGAGCAATTAAGGCAGAAATCACAAAAGCAGAGAACACTTCACTAGCAGAGCTGACCATCGCTACATGGCATCCATGCCAGGGTCCCCAGGTGCTCATCACTGTGACTGCCTGGTTGCAAATTCACAAGGTCCCAGGACCCCCACCACCGCGACCACACACTCCAGTCTTGTGCCTCTTGGGCACTGCTATCCTGTGAGATCAGAGCTGAGCCTGCCGTGAGGTGACATGGCTGAGGGTTAGGGCAGGATCCCAGTCGCAGTCTGTGCCTGCATCCCTGGTGGGGGCGGGATGGTCCACCATCAAGATGGCGTCCACAATTTCTACCAGGGTTTTGGGTAGGAAACCGAGCTCACGTCCCAGGAAAGGCGACCTATCCCTTTCCTTGTCTGGGGCCCCAGAGGCTCCAGCTCAGTGTCCTGTGTGCTGCCGAGTCACAGCACACGGCAGGCTACCAGGACTTGCGGGTATTTTCCTGAAAAGTACCTTGTCTCCTGGCTCCCACAGTCACCCTCCAAGCCCCTGGCACATAGCTGTTAGCACAGGAGTTGCCCTGGCTACCTGTGTGAGTTGTGAAACCCTGCTAATCCCTCTGGATTCCCCACCTGCCATGACCTGGGCTGCCCCCAGGACCTCCCCAACCACACCTGCTGTCCCTCCAGGGGAGGGGTGGGTTGAGCCCAGCTGCCCTGTGGGTCTTCCCTCCACCCTCATAGCCCATCCCTCCAGATGCCAAGCTGCTCTACCAGCACGGTACAGCTTTTAGCCCGCAGCCCATGTTGGCTCCCCGACTCTGGCTGCTGTCCCCCCTCCCAGTTCCTACCCAGAACCACACCTCACTCTCCACCAAGTGCAGGGTACTCTCTGCCCAGCTGCTCCTCACAGCCCAGCACATTTGCTGAAAGAAGCGCCACAGTGGCCTTTGGACGGCCTTAGGGCCCCAGGCTTGCCCTGGCACTGGCCACGGGTGGGTGACACCATGCAAGCAGCCAGACCTCAGCATCCCTTGCCTTGGGTCTGTTTGGGAATTGTGGGGGAACATCACCACGAGGTCCTGTTGCTTGCCGTGATGGGGTCTTCTCAGCTCAGCTTGAAGTGCAGCTCTGGGTGTTGGGGGTCCCACTGGAGAAGAGGAAACTGAGGCTGCAAACACTCAGTAACCAGAAGAATGTTCAAAGCCATCACACAGTGCGCTCCTTAGCATCGCCTCCGGCCGCCACGTGTGCTCCACGCTTCCTCACTTGCCGTGCACAACCCCAGATCTGACTGCCACCACAGAAAAGGGGTCATCTGGGGGCAGCACAGTCAGTTGGCCATCAGCATTTCTTAAGCTAACTGTCCTTGAGGATCAGCGTGCTGCTTTGAGATGTTATGTAGCTACTAACTTCAAGGAGACTCAGTGATGTGGGTGGCCCTGGTCTGATTGGCAGCAGTCTGAGGAGCAAAACCCAAGGTTTTCCAGAGAGGTGCCTCCCCCAGCTGAATGTCCAGTCCCAGCCTGCCCTGCAGATATGACACGTGCCACCTCACATTCACAGGGACCATGTCCTTAAACACAATATGTTCACCTACTGACCTGTTTGCTTATCTGTTCATCCACCCATCCACCCACTCATCCATCCATCCATCTGTCCATCCACCCATCCACCCACCCACCCATCCACCCACCCACCCATGCATCCATCCGTTCATCCATCCTTCCATCCACCCATCAAACCGTCAATGCATTGACCCATCCATTCATTCTTCCACCCATCCACTGATATATGCATCCACTCATCCATCCAACCGTCTTTCCATCCATTCATCCATCCACTAAGCATTCATCTAACCATCTTTCCATCCATCTATCCAAGTGTCCATCAGGTATCATCTGTCATTCACTCAGCCGTCTATCCCACCCACGTGATCCACCCAGCCTATTGGCTCATTTCCTGTGCAGACCCGACTAGTACAGTCATTTGCACAGCACCGGGCAGTAGGCATGGTGAAGAGCTGGAAGCCAGGTTAGTCACTTTGTCCTGAAATAATTTGAATTTATCAGTAGTTTTGACTTACCTTGAGTTGTCCCTCTCTTTTGTCCATCACTTGCTGAGTCTGCCCTCTAGAGGCCCCTGGGAGCCTCACATTTGCTTTAGCCTGAGTACCGGGAGGATGGGGGCCACTGGAGTTTCCTTTGCCAGATCCTTGTAAAATGCAGCAAAGCTCTGCAGATCCTTTGATCTGCCCTGGCTCCGGCTGCCTGCCCACAGCGCTCAAGCCGACAGTGCCCGGGTCCTGCCGTGGCTGTCTTTGGTTGTTTGTGCATGACACAGAGAGGCTTTCAGAATGCTCTCAGCACTCCAGCTCCCTTCTCTGTAACTATGCCTGCAAAGGGCTGCCTGCAGTGCGGAGCCTGGACCTGCCATGGGGCAATCTGTGTTCTCAGTTCCGGCGAGGCTGGGCTCCCTACACTCGACCCCACTGGGCGTTGTGAGCAAGCAGTGTGACCCTACACAGGGCTCAGAGCACATGTAACTTGGACAGCAGGAGGAGGAAGAACCATGAGCAGGCACTAACTCAGCGCTTCCCACACTGCAGTGCGCACAGGCCGCCCAGGCCCTCCCTGGGCCACCATCCTAACAAGCCACTGCTGTTCCTGGGCCTGCTCTGGTCTCTGAGAAGGCCATGCCCACAGGAGTGCCCCTAGAGAGCTGAGGCTCCCTCTTTCACCCGAGGCCTTGCTCCTAGGGTGCCACCCAGCTCCAGAGTGCCCACCTTGTCAGTTGCTCCTGAGTTCTGTTTGTGGCCCATCAGGCTGAACATGCATTTCTGGCTCCAAAATCAGGCGGCCCCTTCCTCTCAGGCAGGCCTCAGTCTCCCCACCTGTGAAACTAGGATGGCGGGTACTCACAAGCGCCTTGGGGCTCAGCTCCTGAGGGTAGCAGGTACCAGCATGGGATGCCCAGGAGCCTGCTGGGGTCTGGCCTTGGAGACCACAGAGTGGGCCTCTCCCCACGAGGGCCTGTCCCTCAGCACTGCACAG